CCAGTCACTTTCATGGTAGCACTGAGCACCAAGAGACGATATATAGATAGCTCAACATAGAAAAATGCACATTTGTGAATTTCTACATATAATTGAGGCCATGTATCTTGCTGGTTAAGTAACTATGTTTTGGAGTTGCGTTGACCTGTTCTTAGATCTAGTTCTTCCATGTACTAGGGTAGTGGCCTTCACATGGTCTTCTCATCTAAGGCTGATGCAATGAAGACAGCACCACATATGTCATGGTGGTTAAGCCAAACATGTGGTTCACTGGGCATGGATCATAGCCTAGAGCAAGCAGAGGAAGGGTGGCTTTAGCCATTTGGGCTGAGTCTTGGGGTAGATGCCAAAGAGAAGCAAATATGAAGACATGTGTCATCAAAAGACTACAAAGATCGAACTCAAGAGTAGATTAAAGCTTTCCTTCCCCTGGAAAAAAATGGTTACAGATCAATTGAAATACTTTCTACTTATGCTAGGAATGACAAAGTCAAAGAAAGGGCCAGGTCAAGGCCTTGTCATGCTCTATCTGCTAGCTCCCTGGAGTGGATGGGTCTGCCAATTCCTTTCCCCATTCAGCACTGTCTCCTCAAGGCAAGCCTGAGATCCCTGCATGAGACACACATGGAGAGGAGGAAAGAGAAGTGGAGTGTGGATTTGAGAAGATCCTTTGAAGAAAATGAAAATGAAAAGCCATCCAAAGGAAGTGGGATGGTCTCCAACACCAAACACATAAGCTACAGAGAGGCACTACAACAAAACATGATAGTCTCAACATCTCCAGGTCTCACTAACTGTCTCCTGACCTCAACCCCACCCGGATCTCTTCTCAGGACAGGACTTATTCCTCTAGTTGTCCCTGGCTATTCATTCATCTCTTACATGCCACCTCACCTTTCCAATTCCCCTTCCAGGCCACAAGTCAACATCTGCTCCACAACTTGCACTAACTCATCATTTCTTGTTCTAGTGGGTGAAGCTAGAGGGCAAATAGTGTATTAGATGCCGCCTTTGGTAGATTCCCACACATGTTTAAGCTGCCTTATCGATCAGTTCCTGGTTGCTGTGGATCCTATGCTGAAGCCGGGGTACAATGAGCTCAAAAGGAGTGCACAGGGTCCTCTCCCAGACCAAGGACATCTGACCCCTGAGGTTCTGCAGGCTCAATATCTGAGAAGATAAAACACTAAATGGACATTGTGCTGGCCAAGAAGTTTTCAGGATCAACAACTGTTTCTGGATGCTTTTGCATACTCAACTACTTTTATCAAGTCTGACATACATGATTAAGAAAAGGAAGGAAGAATATGTTATTAGTGTTGCTTATGTTCCATGTCCAAGTGGCAAATCATTTATAAAATAACCATAGACTTAAGTGTTATTAAAATGCTCTGACTTCAACTTATACAAACAATCAGAGGGCTGAGTCTTGGTATTAGCTTCCCACAATCCCATGCCATAACATGGATGGAATGAAATTTTAGGTGTTTCAATGTTCTAGAATTATCATGTTGAGAAATAGTGTGCAAAACTCTTAACACCAACATTCCTGGACTGAGTTGAAGTTTCAAGTTGAAAATTCTAATTCTGATGGTAATATTTTTTCTGGATCAGACATAAAGGAAGAAATATGCAATTAGACATCACAGAAAATGATCCAAAGATCCTCCAAAGGCAAACTGTGGTAAGGAGGCTGCTTTGACACAAGAGCCAAGACAGCAGTATGTCTTCCATGGTGCATGAGGATATGTCTTCCATGGTGCATGAAGACAGCACTTCCAGACTACATGGAGAAGTCATTCCAGAACGCAGGAGATGGAGAAATGGTAGTCATGTGTAGTGTCAACAGAGAAGTTATAACTCAGAAAAGAACAAGGCTTGTGCTGAAACAGCTACTGATTAGCCAAAAGCTTTGACTTTTGAAAAGGAGGAATCAATATAGACTATTGGCTACTTTGAAGTTTTCCATTGTTCATTAGCAATGCCAAATTAGCATCACCAGATTGTCCCCTAAAAGTGAAGTGTTTAGTCAACCAAACCCAACTCATTAGTTGTGTTTCATGTACTATGTCAAAGAAAAATGGCTAATGATCTCTGTCTGAAGCAGCTTCACTAACTTTCTGGCATTTTTTTATAGACGAACGAAGTCAGGGCAAATTTTGGAGACTCTGTGTTATTGCTCCTTGATTTAGAAAATAAATATTTCACAGTCATTTAAACTCAAAAAGACAAATAGAAGGACACAAGTATAAAGCAGTGCAAGTCAAAGAACTCAGTCTCAGGGTTAAACCAAAGTAAAGCAAGTACAACAGAACAAACAAAGTCAGAGCAGCAAGGGGAAAAAAGAGATCAATCACTAAGCAGATCTTCAAATCTAAGGGAAAAAGGATATTTACCATTCTGCCATCTAAACCACTTAAGTAGTTTCTCAAGTCTGCCTCCAGACAGAATCAAACATGCCTTAGATGTCACCCTGTGTCAAACACAACCAATTACTGGCCACACCCACACATCTGACAAAATCTTAACATGACACAGTGAAACAAAGAAAATACCTCTCTTCTGAAATCCATACATCTTTAAAGTAATTCACACCGCATCCAATTCAACAAAATACTCACTTGGTAACTGTTAAGCTAATTGTGGCATTCAATGGTTCCTGCTCTTCTGGGATGGAAAGTATAGTTAAGGTACATACTTCATTTTAATGCTCAGGTAGAAAAAAAACAGACATAGCTACAAAGATTGTGACTGCAGATGGCCCCAGGACTCTACCTTGTCACCTTGATGCTTCTTTCGTCTTTGAAGACCTGACCTTCTTAAGTCATTCTGCATCAGCCCCAACACTGGAGTTCAGGCAGCGGGCAACAGAGCACTGAGCAGTGTGCCTGTCCCCCACTTCCTAGAGCTGCCCCAGGGACTAGCATTTGTTGCCAACTGCATCTCAGAGAACTCCTTAGAAGAGAAATAAAAAGAAGCGAAATAGTTTGCAACTGATCCCTTTTACTTTCAACCCTGACCTCACATTATTCTCCTTTCGTCTTTGAAGAGAGAAAGAGAAAAAGAAATTAAGAAAAACTGAGCAGAGAAAGAAGGTGAGGAAGACGGGGACAATACAGAGCCCTGGTTGGATGCTGTGAGAGCTGGCAGAATGTGTGGTTCTGCATCTTAACAAGCTGGTGGTGGCGCACGCCTTTAATCCCAGCACTCGGGAGGCAGAGACAGGTGGATCTCTGTGAGTGTCAGGCCAGCTTGGTCTACAGAGCAAGCTACAGGACAGTCTCCAAAGCTACAGAGAAACCCTACTTTGAAAAACAAAAGAAAACGAACAACAACAACAAAACCAACCTGGTGTTAGATTTTGCCCAATCTGAATTTCTGTTTTCTCATTTGTCAGATGGAGCTGGTGATACCTGACTGAGCTGCTGTAAATAATATAAAGATAGGTGTTCAATGTGCTTAGCATCACAGAATGATCCCTACAAAGTAGGGAGGTCAAAGAGGTTTTCAGAATGCCCGTGTCAAGCATTTGAAGAAGAGAAAAGAAAAATCACTGGGGACTGGTGCTTTCTTTTTTCTATTAACCTGATCACCTGTTACACAATTAGCATATGATATACATTTCACTTAAAATTGTGCCCCAGTCCTTCTCTTGATTCTTGGGGTACACACAAGCCTGCTCAGGAAGCAGAAACTGCACAGAAATGCCTCATGTTGCTAAGTGTCTGCATGCAGTACACAATGCAGGTGCAGCAGCAGTTTGGAGTAGGGATTGACCAGGGAATGACCTGTTCCAGAGTTCCAAGGGTAGGTAACGGACAGACAATAGACACGGAGATGGGGCGTTTTCAGATGCTCAGAAAGAAAATGCTCCATGGCTGAGCTTCTCCTTGAAACACCAGCATGATGAGGAAAGGAACTGAACATGAAGATGAAATGTGGTGCCTGTGCTGGTTTTATCTCAACTTGTCACAGAGCAGAGACATTTAGGAAGAGGAGACCTCAACTGAGAAATGCCCCCATAGGTTTGGCCTGTGGGCAAGTCTATAGTGCATTTTCTTCACTGATGACTGTGGGCACTGAAACTTCAGCATTGGTGGCCATTGGTTCTATAAGAAAGCAGGCTGGACAAGCAATGGAGAGCAAGCCAGTAAGCAGCACTCCTCCGTGGCCTCTGCATCAGTTCCTGCCTCCAGGTTCCTGTCTCGAGTTCCTGCCCTGAGTTCCCTGGATGATGGACTTGAGCTATAAAGATGAAATAAAGGAACCCTTTCCTCCCCGAGTCATTTGGGTCATGGTGTTTATCACAGTAATAGAAACTGTAGCTAAGACAGCATCCCTGGCTGGGGAGAAGATGGGCAAGAAGCAGCAAGCACACTCGGGAGCAAAGGACCCGGGGAAACAGGCTGTCTGCCTCCCCGCCCCCTTTCAGATTTCTTGTTCCTATTTAATAAACATGGAGGAGGGTTTCACAGTCCAGGTATTACTCAGGGGGAAATAAACCATATTTTTCTGTTTGACCCAGATGGAGTCTGTTACTACATTCAGTAATGGGACTGCGTGGAGTGGGGGATGGGGGTAGGCGTTGCAAAGGTATGCTCCACTGGGTGGATATCTATCTCTGCCACACCCAACAGCGTGTCCTGAAGTCAGTGAACTAACCTTCCAGGCCTCTCTTTCCTCGCATGAAGAAGATGGAGTGAGTGTAAACCCCCTGCAGCAGACTGTTGGGAGGAGTGGTCATACATTCAATAAATCCCCTAACTGAGAAGCACTTAGTGTGTACATAGTATGTAGGAAGAAATCCACGTCTGCTACCAGTAATTGTTACTGTTTATGCCTGCTCTCTTTAACTGAAAGCTCAACCATGGGAAGTGCAAACAACCACCTCACACATGACATGGGAAGGTACCACGGTGATACCATCTTACAGTGACAAAATCTTCCGAAAACAGTGGCAGCCATGATAAGCCCCATCCACAGTGAGACACGAGCCACACCTGGCTTGGTGAATGGCTTCCATCCATTCTTTCCCGGCCTGCTCCTCCTCACAGCGCAGCTCCAGAGGCTTCTGACCTTCGTGTCCGAAAAGAACAGTGAAGTAATACTGGAAAGAAAAAGAAACACAAAGGGCTTATGGTTTTATCTGTCAAGAGTAGAAATGTAATACCACAGTACTTGCCTAAGAGGGGTATAAACTTACAAAATCTACCAGCATGATATAAATCATATTTCAAAATGTAACATCATGCCTGGTCCATCCAGAAACGTCTTTGCACCTTGGTGGTAATGCAGAGGGCATCTTAACACCCCTGAGTAGCACTCAGCCCACAGCCCTACCGCACTGTGTACTTTTACATAAGAACAGAAAGAGCATTGCACCAATTTGCCAACAAAGACAAAGTGAAAGCTAACATGAAAATGCTTGCAGAAGTTTTCATTATGCAGGGTGTGATAAAACAGTAGATGGGGGTCTACTCCGCTGAGCCAGCTGATTCTATTACCTAACCATCCTAGGCTCCATTCTAGGAAGTGCCATGTCTATAATTGCATCTAATTGCTGCTACTGCCGCTCCTGCAGCCTTTGCAAGCATCATCCGTGGCTTAAGCCCTTGTGCAACAGACAAATTATATTTAACCTGGGAAGGAAATGTAATTGCCATCCTGGAGGTAAGTCATAAATCAGAATTTCTCTTTGATGAGTGTTATCTATTTCTTGTTGGATAGAAGAAAAAAGACAGAACTAATTTATCAGGAGTGAAATTATTTATTCCATCTGAACTTTATTCATAATCACCCCAAACTGGAAACAATGCAAGCATCCTCTGGTAAGTGAGTAGATAGTCAAATTCTGGAACATTCCCCAATGGAATACTACTCATCAGTAAAAAGGAACAATTCTTGATAAAGCCAGCAACTTGAGTGCCTCCCAAAAGTACCAAGCAACATTAAAAAGTCAGCCTCAAAAGGCAACATCCAGCCTGGAGGTGGTGGTGCACACCTTTAATCCCAGCACTCGGGAGGCAGAGGCAGGCGGATCTCTGTGAGTTTCAGACCAGCCTGGTCTACAAGAGCTAGTTCCAGGACAGCCTCCAAAGCCACAGAGAAACCCTGTCTTGAAAAAACAAAAATAAAAAATAAAAAAGGCTGCATCCAGAGGGCTAGAGCCCACACAGCGCACATGACCCCTTCTGTTCTCACAGAGAAACTGATTCACTTCCCAGCACCCATGCGTGCCTGTCACTCCAGTTCCATTGAATACACCGCCCTCTTCTGGCCTCCAAGGGCACCTGCACCTGTGCACACATGCACACACATTTAAAAGAAATGTTTTGTTTTGTTTTTACGTTTCAGGCTCTGTAATCTCCTTTACGTGGTACTATTGAAAAAGTAAAAAACAAACCAATTATTTTCTGGGGCTGAGGAAGAAGTGTGTGCCTATAAAAGGATTACACAAGGGCTTTTGCAAGGTCATCCCCTACAGCCTCTCAAAACCCACAAATCATTGACCTCTGGGGTCAATGATCAGTATGTCATTTGGGGTCATTTTATTACTATGTTCCTTTATCAGAATAACAGCATAGGTTTCCCCTAGGCCTATGTATTCTCAGATTCTTGGCTACTTTATCAGTATCAGGCATGGGTTTCGTCTCATGGAGTTGTCCTTACATCCAAGCAAAGAGTGGTTGGTTACTCTCATGACATCTGTGCCACTTTGCTCAAGTGTATCTGCAGAAAGATCATTGTTGTATGGTGCAGGATTTGTAGATGGGTGTGCCATTGATGATTACCATTTTCCTCCAGTACCAGCCATAGTACCTTCCAGTGCCATGAATGCTAGTCAGTAGGGGCAAAGCCTCTAGCAGAGCGCCAGATGGACTTCTCCATGTTCAGTGTCAAGTAACTGTATTGTACTGGCTAATCTTACATCAATTTGACACAGGCTAGAGTCATTAGAGAGGAAGGAGACTCAATTGAGAAAATGCCTCTATAAGATCCAGCTGTAGACAAGCCTGTCGGACACTTTCTTAATTAGTGATTTGTAAAGAGAAGCCTTTTCCCTGCCAGCAGCTTTGGTTTTTCCCCCCGCCAGTTGCCTGGGCTCTGCCGTGTTGTAGTCCCCAAATAACACACAAGATGCTGTATTAATTATGAAGCTGTTGGCCTTACTTGTTTCTTACTGGCTAGCTCTGACTTAAGTATTTATCCCATAATTGCTAATCTAAGTGTTTTCTCTTACCGGAGAAGTTTTTGGGCTTCTCATCCCTATGGCATTACATCTTGACTCCCTGTGTTTCTCCTACCCAGAGTCCTCCTGGACTCCTGGTCCCACCTATCTTGCTTCCCTATTGGCCAACAGTGCTTTATTGACATATACACAGGACTTCCCCAACAGTGATTGATGTGGGAGGGTGCAGCCCATGGTGGGTGGTGCCATCCTGGGCTGGTGCTCCTGTGTTCTATAAAAAAGTAGAAAGTCATGAAGAGCAAGCCAGTGAGCCGCACCCCTTCGTGGCCTCTGCATCAGCTCCTGCCTCCAGATTCCTGCCCTGTTTGAGTTGCCTTCCTGACTCCCTCGGATGATGAACAGTGATGTGCAAGTGTAAACTAAATAAACCCTTTTGTCCCCAACTTTCTTTTTTGTCATGGTGTTTCATCATAGTTACAGAAACTCTAAGATATATATTCAGCAATAGGGCCTTACCATCAAGTTGCAGAGACCAATCAATAGTCTTAGCTATTGTGTCTTCCAGATACAACAGAGCTGATGACGTAAGAATTTACAGAGTCCATGGGAACATGTATGGAAGATGTACAGGTTAAAGGGGCCCAGCACTGAGAAGGGAAAGCAACACAAGTCTCACCCCTAGCCAAGATTCCATTTGCAAATGATACTCCTGTTTGTTTGTTTCAGACAGGCAACATGAAGTCGGGTGCGTAGAGTGGTGGAGCGTATCTGGGAGGACTTGGGAGATGGGAAGAACATGACTGATACCTATTGCATAAAAGGGTTTCTTTTGTTTTTAAATTAACAAAAATAAATCCCAGCCCAGAACTGGTGCTTTAGTGAGCAGGTCAAACTTCCCTTCCTGTGGCAATGTCACCAGCCCTGCTGACAGGCAGTAAGCCCCTCCTGCAGCGTTCTGCCCTGTAACTCTCTGCCATCTCAGCTACTGCAGATTACAAACATTGTGTGTTGCTCCAGGCACCCCACCCCCAGGACCTGTCCCAGGCTCTAGCATGAATTTTTTTGTTTTTGTTGTTGCTTATTTTTTTATTCAAATTAGAAACCAACTTGCTTCACATGTCAATCCCAGCTCCCTCTCCCTCCCCCAACCCCCTGCCAGTCCCCTAACCCCTGCACACAATCCCCACTCCACTCTCCAGGGAAGGCAAGGCCCTTCATGGAGGATCTCCAAAGTCTGTCATATCATCCAGACTGAGAGAGCATCCCTCATTGTGGAATGGGCTCCCAAAGTCCATTTGGATGCCAGGGATAAATTACTGATCTAGTACCCAAGGCCTGAAAGAATGCTGAGGCTTCCTCACTGACACCCATGATCAGGGGATCTGGATCAGTCCCTCTCAGTCATCAGTCTGGGGTCCATGAGCTCCCCCTTGTTCAGGTCAGCTGTTTCTGTGGGTTTCATGCACTCAGTCTTGACCCCTTTGTTCATCACTCCTCTCTCTCTGTCACTAGTTTCTAGGAGTTCAGTTCAGTGTTTAGCTGTGGGTGTCTGCCTCTACTTCCATCAGCCACTAGATGAAGGCTCTAGGATGGCATACAAGGTAGTCGTCAATCTCATTGTCGGTGAAGGGCATTTAAGGCAGCCTCTCCACTATTGCTTAGTTTGCCAGTTGGTGTCATCCTTGTAGATCTCTGAAATTCCCACTAGTTCCAGACTTCTCCTCAACTATAATGACCTCCTCTATTATGGTGTCTCTCATTCTGCTCTCCTCTATTCTTCCCCTGACTCTACCTCCCTGCTCTCCCATGTCCTCCTCTCCCCTTCCTCTCTTTCTTCCAGTTTCTTCTCCCCTCCCCCATGCTCCTAGTCCACTCAGGATATCCTGTTCCATTCCCTTTCTTTGGGGGTATCATGCATATCTCTCTTAGGATCCTCCCTGTTTCCCAGACTCTCTGGCAGTGGGATTGTAGGCTGGCACTCCCCTTATCCATGTCTAAAATCCATATATGAGTGAGTACATACCATGTTTCTCTTTTTGTGACTGGGTTACCTCACTCAGGATGGTTTCTTGTAGTGCCATCCATTTGCCTGCAAATTTCAAGATTCCATTGTTTTTTTCCACTGATTAGTACTCCATTGTGTAAATGTACCACATTTTCTCTATCCACTCTTCAGTTGAGGGGCATCTAGGTTGCTTCCAGGTTCTGTCTAGCCTGAATCTTATCTCAATCCGTTCTTCAAATGCTGTCCAGGGATCTGCCCCCATCACTGTCCAGGGATCTACCCGTGCCCCCCCCATTGCAGTCCTGGCTGCCCATGGGTGGTGGAGTTTGCAGACCTGTTCTCCAGGGACCTGCCCTCCATCCTTGTCCAAGGCCTATTGCCATGCCCATGGTGGAGTTTACAGGTCTGATGATTTGGGTTTTGCACAGCACAAAGTATTTTTTATACTTTTCAACCATGAAAACTTTTGTGACTACCTACGCCATCTTCATTTTTATGCCATTTTATAATTCACTGATATTTACAGAAGAGACAGACAAGAATTATAGAGCTGTGCTTTCTAATGTATGAACTTTCTACACTACCTAAGGGTAACTACTAAAACAAACTATATCCATGTTCTAAATGGTTACAGGGTCAAAGCAGGGAAGGGGACTGTCAATGTGCATGGAGAGTTAACCATTTGTTTGTTTGTTTTATCTGTTTAACTAGTGGGCTTCCTTTTCAGAGCAGCCTGCAGTTGACTGAAAACTATCATCACAAGGCAGAGAAGGCCCCCACCGTGTCCTTGGGGACGATCCATTACAGTGCGTGCCTAGTTCACATTGGGGTTCGCTCTGTGCTGGAGACTGGGTTTTGACAAGTGCATCCTATTGCCTAGTCACAATACTGGGTTTTTGGGGCGGTCAATGAA